TCCTGTATGCGGGCCGGCCACTTTCCTCTGCCTTTCCGCAGAGCTGAGGTGGTCATGATCCAGAAGGCCGGCAGGGATGCCTCCAAGCCCGGGTCCTGGCGGCCGATCGCGCTCCTCTCGTGCTTGGGCAAAGGACTCGAGAGACTAATAGCCAGAAGGATGGCTTCTCTGGCGATTGTCGAGCGCATCGTCAGTCCGCAACAGATCGGAGCTCTACAAGGCAGGTCAGCCGTCGATCTGACGACCTGCCTCGCCCACGATATCGAAACGGCCCTCCTAAAAGGGCTCACGGCGACGCTTCTGACTATGGACGTAAAAGGGGCGTTCGACTCCGTCCTTCGGAACCGGCTCGTCATTAGACTGCGTCAGCAGGGATGGCCACACGGCTTGATTAGACTCATCTTCAGCTTCTGCTGCAACCGCATCGCCAGAGTCCGACTGGAAGAAAGCACGACGGAATACTTTCCTCTGTCATGCGGGCTGCCTCAGGGGTCGCCACTATCTCCCATCGTCTTTCTGCTCTACATCGCGGAGATCCTTGAAGACGACCCGGACGCGCGATTCGGGTACGCGGACGACATCGCCACTCTGGCCATCAGCCCCTCCCTGGAGAGCAACGTCGCAATACTCAACCGAAGCGCAGCCGGCATTCTCAGATGGGGCTCGGAGAACAAGGTCTCCTTCGACCCGAGCAAGTGCGAGGTCATCCACTTTACTAGGAAGCACAGCCAGCCAGCGGAGCTGCCAGAGGTCAGGGCGGGGGATTTGGTGGTCAAGGCCTCGACAAATCCTGTACGCTGGCTGGGTGTCTGGTTCGACAAGAGACTGTCCTTCCGGCACCACGTCGACACAAGAGTAGCTGCGGCAAAGAAGGCAGCTCAACACCTGAGGCAGCTTACAAACACAAAGAGAGGACTGCCAGCGGCCGCCGTGCGAAAAGCCGTCGTCTCCTACGTACTGCCGATCGCGCTCTTCGGCGCCGAAACATGGTACGCAGGTATCACGAAGCCGGCTTCGAGACGCCAAGCGGAGACAGACACGAGTCCGCCTTTCCAAGGAAGACCCGTCAACACAGGCCAGAAGGGGCTCGTGCAGAAGATCGACAGCGTCATTACAGCGGCAGCAAGGATCGTTCTACCTGTCTGGAGGACAACGCCAACCAGTAGCCTCCTCCGAGACGCCGGCTTACCGTCAGCCAAAGTCGCCTTAGAAGGCGTCCGTTTACGGGCCGCAGTCCGACTACAGAGGATTGATCGCCGACACCCGCTAGTCGCGCGGCTCTCCCAGCAGGGACAGCAACAGACGAGACTACAACGGACGGCTGAACTTCTGCCAAGATGCGGAAGACCAACGTTCCTCCAATCACAGTACCTGCCAAGCTCACAGGATCAGATAGTAGTTCAATGCAAAGAAGAGGCTGCGAAAGCTTTCGAGCGCTGGCTAAAGACAGTACCGGAAAGCCATATGATCGTCTTCTCGGACGGCTCCAGGGCGACGAACGGAGCCGTGGGGTACGGCTTCGTCATCTACCGAGACTCCAAACGCATAGCGCAAGGGTGCGGCCGACTCGGACTAGCAGAAGTGTTCGACGCCGAGGTCGAAGGGGCGCGAACCGGCCTCAGAAGGGCTCTGCTCACCAATCGCGGTCATCCAATCCACATATGTATCGACAACACCAGCGTTATACAAGGCATCCGCGGCAAGGCGCCGGACTCGTCACAAGACGCGTTCCTCGAAATCCAAGAAGCGGCCAGGATATTTGATATACGGACGCACTGGTCCCCGGGACACCAGGGCATCGAAGGAAACGAGGCCGCGGACCGGCTGGCCAAAGAAGGAACGACACTGCCGGCGCGGATGGGTCAAATGGCAACACTAGCGGGCATCAAGCGGCTTGCAAGGGAAAAATTACAAAGCCAGCACAGGAGATGGTGGTATAAAGAGCGAAGGCCGCGGTACGCGGACTTGGGGCTTGAGGCAGCTCTGTCCAGCCCTCCTGAACTGGCCTTGCCGCGGGCTACGTTACATCACCTGCTGGCGGCACGATCGGGTCACGGGGACTTCGAGCAATATCACCGACGTTTCAACCACGACGACGCTCTAATGATGTGCTCTTGTGGAGAGGCGAAAGACGTGGACCACCTGGTCTACTGTCGACTAACGCTGGCGAGGAGGCAACGGTGGCCGACCCTCCACTCTCGCAGTATGCCCGAGCCCATAGGTCCTATGGGATCTCTCGAGGCCTACTTCAAGAGATTAATCACCGACCCACGAGGCTTCGAGGCCTTTCTCCGCGTGACGGACTTCTTCCAGAAGATCTGTCTGCGGTAGCAGCATCCACACCTAGGTAGATGTGAGTGCGGACTACAAAGAACCTCCCGATTCCAAGGGACGATTTGGGAAAGAATGAAACTGGGGCACCAGCGGGAACCGGGGACAGACAGAACGCGTAGTGGCCACAAGGCATGATTTGGAGGACGATGTAAAGAGACGACGTACTGTAGAGTAGGTAGCCTTGGCTCACGGCCCTCCACGCCATATACCCTTCGGGAGGTCTGCGGTAAGGGCTCTAGCCCGGCCGCCACGGCGTTAAATACAACAACAACAACAACAACAACAACACCACAAGCCGAGGTTCATCCAGCCTGCTTCGTGACGCCCGAAAGCGCGAGAGAGGTTTCCGACATTATCAAAACCCTCACCTCACTCTGAGCACAGTTCACAGTCAAGAGCGGCGGTCATATGGCGTTCGCAGGTGGATCGAATATCGAAGACGGTGTCACCGTCGACCTCGCACGCATCAATCAGGTGACTGTGTCAGATGACCGTCAGACAGTGTCCATTGGACCTGGAAACCGCTGGTACAACGTCTCACAAGTGCTCGATCCACTAGGTCTCGCCGTCGTCGGGGGCAGGGTCAATGATGTTGGTGTCAGCGGGCTCATCCTAAGAGGCGGCATCTCTTTCTTCTCAGGCGAGTATGGATGGGCTTGTGACAACGTGCGCAACTTCGAAGTCGTTTTGGCGTCTGGCGAAATTGTCGGCGCCTCCACGTCTGAGAACCCCGACTTATACTAGGCACTTCGTGGGGGTGGAGGCTCCAACTTTGGCGTCGTGACCCGGTTCGACCTCGTCGCTTTTGAGCAGGGAGATGTGTGGCTTTACAACCCCATCTACACTCTAGCTTCCAGTTCAGATCTCGTGCCGGCATTCGTCGACCTGGTTGTTGATGGTCTACCATCAGACCACGATGCACACACGTTCTTCGTGATTACGAACTTTCCAGGCTATGGCGACATCATTGCGAACTACATGTATCACGCTAAACCTCCCATGGTTGCAGAAGATGTGCCACCCGTCTTCGTTGACGCGATAGCCGTTCCCGGGGCTGTTTCAACAACGACACTGGTGGCCAACATTTCTACTCATACGATCAACCTTTCAGAACCCTATGGTATGCGCAAGTCGTGGTCAGGTACTTCTGTCTACCTCAAAGAGGGCTCAGCCCAGCTCCTCCAGGACATTATTCAGTTGTGGCAGGCTCATGCCCAGGATGTTATGGCTGCCGCCGGCAAAACAAACACAACATTGTCACCTCTGCTCGTGTATCAGCCGATCTCAACCAACATCATCGAGGCGATGCAGAAGAATGGCGGCAATGCCCTCGGGCTCGCGCCAGAAGAAGGCCCGCTCGTTCACATTCAGGTCACAACGCACTGGGAGACGTCCAAGTTGGATTGCCTTGTGGAGGAAAGCGTCGCAAAGCTGATTGATGAGATTGATGCTCTTGCAGAGCAGAGAGGCCTTGCGGCAAACTACATCTATATGAACTACGCGGGCAAGCATCAGGATGTCTACGGAGGCTATGGATCCGAGAACCACGACCGTTTGAGAAAGATTTCCGATATCTACGACCCGGAGAGGTTGTTTAAAGGGCTATGGAGGGGGTATTTCAAGGCATGAAGACTTCTCGGTTGTTGAATCTCCCAGACGTTGTGTCTACTCGGCGAATCAAAAACTTGTACATAAATCTACTCATGTACGTTACATCTCAGTACGATCAACGTTTCACTGGTATTATCAATGGTTACTGCACTTGCAAAATCTGCTTTCCCAGGGCCACAACGTCGAATCCTCAACACATGAGTGTCATATTGGTTCATATTGGATTGGAGACTAACCTTGATCAGCCTGCAAATAAAGGGGCTGGTGCCTGATTTAGATGGAGGACTTTTATCTCGGAGCCATCCATAATCACGGTGCTGACCTCCATTCTGGCTTCCGCTACTGAAGTCATGTGGGATTGAAGCCCAGATTAAGCCCAGAGTTTGCCCACCGCTCAAGATCTGCACCGCGTCAGCCCTTCCCTCTCATCAACTCTCAAATTTACACCTTGCCAACCCTCTATTCCTACGATACAACTATTTTATATTGTCTATCGATCCTAAAGTCTCATTCGGCAACCATTTGACAAACTTCGGTGGAATGCCCCGATCCCCCGAGTAATCGCAAGATTGCCTGCATTTAACATTGTTCACAACTACAAGAGACTCCGCTCCTTCAACACTTTTACAGTCATATAGTCTGCAATATCACGGCACTGTGGAAAATGCGCCATTAGCTGCTCTATTGTCCTCAAATCGTCATAGTTTCAAGTTTGAATGGTGGATCACCAGTAGATCGTAACTACTAAATTGAAGATTTAAAGTGAATGAACAGCCCAACCATCCAGGTTCACATTAATCTGAACAACATTTTTTTGAATGATGGCCTTTGGGGAATGTCGCGAAATTACTCGTTGCGAGAACGTTAGTATTTTGCAAGGGAAACCTAGTTCAACAACGTTGGTTGCGCCTTGGCAAATTGTGTGAGGCAATTATTAGTCAGCTTTTATTCCACGAATTGAGGTCAAGCGAACAGTCTGTGGGGAACGCCGAGATAATGAAGACGCCGATCTCGCTATATCTAATCAATCTCTCAAACTTAATCACCTACTAAGCTCTGTGTTTAAAAATAAGAGACGGCCTCTCTATTCGTATATCTCTTTGTTCTGTTTTCATGCCTCTTCTTAAGTTTTCCTACACGTAAACACATTATTGTCACATCGCCGCCCACGAATTGCCGCGGATAAATCCTCCGATCACCACTTTGGCATTAATTTATTCGACTAGCCCCGATAAGCCGACAAGATCAGCCCACCAAGAAAAGCATCATGGATATCCAAATTTCGCCAGCGACAATAGATGACACGCCAGAGATTCTAGAACTCGCCCAGAAAGCACGCGCGGACATGTTTCCGCATCTGGATGAGCAATGGCGTGCCATGAAGGCCGAGCAAGATCTCGCAACGTTCCAGAAGACATTTTTCAACCACCCAGATGGCGCCTTTATGGTCGCGCGATCAGAAAACCAAATCATTGCGACAGTTGGATATCAACACTACGATTACCGATTTCCCCAGCTCACTCTACTACCCGACGGCGTCGTTGAAGTTGTGAGACTTTTCGTGGTCCCGGCTTGGCGGCGCGGCGGACTGGCATCCCGATTAGTCTCTGCTTTGGAGAAGGCGGCGAGGGAAGCGGGCCTGAAACAGTTGTACCTTCATACTCATCCGTTCCTACCGGGAGCGATCAAGTTCTGGGAACGGCAGGGATTCGTCGTTTTGAGCGTTGATCAGGATGATGCTGTGTGGCAGACGACGCATATGAGCCGTAACCTTGACAGATGATAGCAATCATTGGTAATAACGAATGGGCCAAGGTTGCTGAAGACATTTCAAGTCACCGATGTGCGGTCTGCGCAGTTATGCTGTTGACCGGGATTGATAGAGGTCACCTCGTGTTGGTTCTGACTTCTAAACCCTGCCTGCGGGACAATTATAGCGGGTCTGTGTTGAGGCCATTTTGACTCCGCAGAGCTAATGGAATCATAAGAGAAAGTATTCCATCCGATCAATCCCTTCATGTTATCGCCCGTCACATGTTCCTAATTCTCATAACGTTCCATTCACGACAAAGATGTCGTCTTCACCTCAACTCCTAGAGAGGAGAAAATCTCATGAAAAAGATGAACACGCCATTCTACGTTATAGGGCTCACGTTCAACCACCTCCGGGCGAGGACCATCTGGAAGCACTCTGCGGTACGAGGCTGCCGGACAATTTTGACGGAACATGGATGTCTGCATGCGTAATTCATGGCATCCGTCACAACGAGGCGTTTGCCATGTCAGAGCCAGTCCGCAAGCTCTGCTTGGGTTCAGATAACAGGTCGTTCGCCCGTGCCCGCAACGCCCGGCTGATCATGAGTGACAAGATCCCGGACATGACGTCCGATGATGAGAAGCCTTATTGTATTTGGTACCCAGACATCGCTAGCGAGGATACCTACCGGGTCTTGTCAACGCGCTACCCCGATATGCGATATCTTGTTGGGCGGGCGTGCGCAGTCGCCGGGTATGCCGATCTGTACAGCGAGCTTCATCTTCTTCCGGAGGTCTCTGTTGCCGAGGAAGCCAGGGACAATTCCTCAAAGAAAGGATCCAAGGTCATATTTGACTGTATCATGCTTCAACCTGTCTGTTACGCTATTCTCAATGACTACACCCGCTCAAGCAATACAACGAGCCCATTGTCACCTGCGTTCATGAACGGCGATACGGCAGTCCGGTCTTCCTTGGACTTTCGACTTGGGCTAAAGGATTGCAAGGAGTGGGGAAACCATTACTTCAACATCACTGAGGACTTCCAAGTCGATGAGTTCTCATCAGAGAAGACTAACATCGAGGAAGTTGCCCCCGGGCACATCGCGCTCTTCTATACTCCCCTCCTCTCGCACTTACCGACTACCAACAAGGATGCCTTGATCCTCATGGCTGCTTATGAGGGCAATATAGAGCGCTATGTACGCTTGCGCCGGCCTAAGATGCTCCATGACGAACAAGCAGCCGTCATCCGCGGCATCTACAACAATACCACCTTTGCCAAATGGTGGTCTCTCCAGAAACTAGAATATGGCAACCACGCAATCAAGACAGCCGTCCTCGCCAGATTCATCATGGTGAACGATCTGTCGCATATCGCACCTGACTCTCCAACTGAAGCTGCCATGCCACATTTGATATGGTGGCCCTTGCTACCTGCGGAAGCGACTTTGAGAGAACTTGTCCGCCGTCGGCCTGATATGAACTTGCAAGTCGCCATGGCGTGTATCGCGGGCGACTACAGGGATTTCTGGGACGAACTTGCGCCAAAGCCATGCTCAGAGCTCCTGAATCAGGCAACACAGAAGGAGGAACGAAGTTCAAGGTTTCCGCAAAGTCCGAGATACCCAGACAGCCCCAACCGAAACTACTACGTTGAGTACCTCGAGAAGAGAGCCAGGGCTCTGGGCATGGAACCCATTGATCTACCACGAACATGTTCTGAGTGCGACGACGCGGCGGTTCGCGATAAAGAGCCCACAACAACATTTCTTGACCCGTGGATAATTGCTCGTAGGTACGCGATCGTGGACTCTAATCCTGACGAGTGCTACTACTGGGGCGTCGGGGGGCAGCCCAATGCCACGAGTTGGGAGTTGTGTATCTGCACGAGTGAAGAGATGAGGCGGGAGGCAAGAGATGAGGAGGGCTTGATGTTATATCAATAGAAATTGCTTATTCCAGATATCTCTGAGCTTTGGGAATTAAGTCCATCCACGGATGCAGGTTCGGCAGGACCCAAAATCTTGTTTCCAGAAGCGTGACAACACCACATATGCGGCATTCTGTTCCTCCGTCATTGAACGTAATTGCCGTCCATTTTCCCGCCCCGTTTCCTATCAACGTCCTCAGCGGCGGCTTCAGTACCCTCACTCGTAACATCCTCGGCACCAATCTCGGGGCTATTTCCAGTACCACCGCCATCACCTCCATTATTGTTCGCAGCATGCCCTTGTTTGTGAAACCTAAACTCCTTCTCGACGCTATCAAATGTGTTTGGCCGATCTCTAGCCTTGTGTCCAGTATTAAAGGCATGTGATTTGTCTTTTGTAAGCTTCCCAGGTTGCGGATACATTCCTTCATACTTCGTTTCATCGCGGACGTACATGCATAGGATGTTAGCCGCACATGATAGTCCGCGCGACGATTCCCCCTTCGAGACTTCGGGGGGCGGGGCAGATCAGGCTGACCTATGAGTAACTCCAAAAGATAGAATGCCCCAGCAGTCTGCCCAGCGGCTAAAGCAGGGGGACCTGCTCGGTACTTCTGTGGCCAATGGCATGTGAGACCTTTCAGCTATCGAGACGATCGATACACCCTTGACAAAATTGAAACAATTTGGACACCGCGAGGAAGATAGCTTCGACATCCTCATAGCTTAGTCAATTCTTTCTGCGCTCTCCCACACCACCACATGCCACCGTGGGTATCCGCCGCCAGACAAACAACGTGGATGGAGAAGCCGTCAACGAAGGAAGAAGGGGAAGCTCAGGTACTCACATGTTCTCATTTTGCCGAACAGGCGGGTGCCATGGACTTGGCACTGACTACTTTAGCTTGTCCCTTTTCATACTCATCTCCTCACAGAAGCATTCTCTCCAGACCAATTGCAAAGACTTCTTCCAGTCTCCTTTCGGATGGGTTCAGACAATGCTGACCTCACCCTTGCGACACCACATAGCAGCGCCTTTCTGGAGAAAGAGCTGGGGCTTGGACGTTTAGTCCAACTGAATCCACGGCTATGGTTTGCGGGACGGCCAACGCCGACACGCCCCCTCCACTATCAACGGATGCTCGGCAGGGAGGTCGTCGTAGCCGAACAGATGGATCTCCATCTCGTCTGGACGGTAGGGCTCTTCCACATCAAACCCATTCCACGATTTCTGCTGGCACCCAATTTCTGGACACATTGTCTCTCTTGTCAAGGCCACCGGTGCTCACGAACCACTTTGACACCCTGCGATCGTCGGAGACTTTGGAGGTGTGCCTTGGGGTTCCTATTCTCCTACGCTGCGCTGATCTGCCACGAGAGCGACTTTCAATTTGCGAAGGACAACCGCCTTATTCCCAAGGAAGTCGAATGGGATGACTGGAGGGAGTTCGCCGCAGAGCTGAGCACGGAGCACATCTACGCTCATATCGATGAGTGCTTCTATTACGGAGAGCTGCGCCTCAGCCGGTTGAACAAGCCGCAATATCTTACCTCTTTTCGTTCTTATATGCCTCCATGGAATTGCTATGGAGATTTCTTTCACGACCAGTTCGCGTGGCTCACCTCGACAACAGTGTATATCGCCATGGTTCTCACAGCGATGCAAGTTGGCCTAGCTACTACACATCTTGCTGATAACACAGCCTTTCAGTCGGCTTCTTATAGTTTCACCATCTTCTCAATTTTGGCGCCTCTTGCGTCTATGTTTCTCGTTCTGGCAACCTTTTTGTATATGTACGTGTCAAATTGGCTAGCGACTTTGGCATTTCGAGAGCGTAGACTTGCAGACATTCAACGACCGACCCAAGTCTGAGACCATTTATGCTTTTATACAACACTCCCATCATCAAGCTGGCCACCGCTGAAGCTGTTCGTTCCTAAACAATCAGTGGTAGATGACACGCGTTTCCTCATATGACTATACTATCCGACCGTGTCAGTTTTTTGTCAACCTAGGCATCTTACGATCAGCCGACAACAATCGATTCAAAGCGCAAGATAATGCCAGTGACGAACGGGATGACGTATGACCATAAATAATACCCGACTCAGTAACACTTTGCGCTGCTTGTCAATGTGATACGTGGTCAAATGATGTGACTCTATTATCACGGTTCAAGCGGTCAACGAGATTTGTTGCGTCACGAAAGAATGAAGATTGCAGAGTAAGATGTAAAAATGTATATTTTTCCATTTCAAGTAACATATTTGACGCTAAATATTTACTCGAAAGGTGATATTAAGTAATTGCACCTGAGTGCTCTATGTCCATGTTCGCCGGCTGCCATATACTAAACCAATCGAAGAGCGTTTGCGGTTAAATCTCAATGCCAGTGAGCAAAGAAATTTAGAGGATGCTGCCGACGCTGCAGAGAAGGCCGCCAAGGTTGATGGCCTTGAGGATACCTCCGACAAGGCCAAGAACGATGGGCAGAAGGCCGGCAAGGACCTCGAGGAGGAGGCCGATGACACCGCCGAGGACGGAGCAGACGAGCTCCAAGAGACCCTCGATGAGGCCGTTGAGGGAGCAGAGGAGGTGGAAGACGACGGTGAGGAGGACGAAGACGATGGGGCCGAGGAGCTCGAAGATGCCTAGTGAATGGTCAGCAAGAGTTATTCTTACGAATCTTGGATTATTGTGCAAACTTACTGCAGCCAAGAACCTTGATGACGTGCTTCAGGCAGTAGATAATCTCAAAGACGAGCTCAAGGACGCAAGAGATGATCTGCTCCTTCTCCTCACCGACAATCTCGACAGTCTCGCCAAGGAGCTCGACAATGTCGCCAACGAGGGAGTGAATCAGGCTGATGATGATGGTGACCTCGCTCTTGACGAGCTTGATGATG